GTAGAAACTGTAAGAAATGATATAAACCTCAGTGAATATCTACAGTGGTGCCTATTCAGCATGAAACAGTGATTCTTTTCGGACTTTCAATAGCAGTGTTCCAGGCAATCCACTTTACTGCTCGGTACAATAATGTCGTTGTGCGATGGACAACGCAAGTAGGTAAACGGAACACACCTATCAATATGGTACTTTTCGTCAATCTGAACAGAAATTAGTTAGAACTAATATTCAAGAAGAATAAAGCGCGTATACCATTCGGCGAAAGCCCACTGCCAATTTGCATTCTGGCTTCAGCTCTTTTTCCGGATCGAACAAATTACGCATGTCTTTCTTCGATATTCCAGAGCAACCGATCGATAAGCTTCCTGTAACAAGAGTTTTTACATACGTAACTGCTGCAAGCGTTTGAAACCTTCCGGACATTTACACTCTGTACAGCCAAAGTCCTTCACTAGCTTGATGCAGTCTCCAAAGCAGCCCTGAACTGCGCGACAGTCTAAAATAGCAGAGTATCACGATGCGTCAAGAGGTGCCACGGGGCGCACCATGGGCGCAAACAGTGACGTTCATCAGAAGAACTTCATCGAAGGTCAGCTGCGCGTCGAAACCCTGAAACAACACCTTGGTCACTGGCAAGTCTTCGGTAATGTCCGTCTGCAGGGGCACATTTCTCTCTGCTTGAAGGTACTGAATAATAAGCAATTATTACGGAAGTGCAGTTGACGCGAAATTGAATTTTACAAAAAATTTTGTTCTCAGAGTTCCATTTGCGTCGCTAGTGAACACTCGTAATGTCGGGTTTATGCGCAGCATTAACGTAACCCGTCGCAGGTCCACCGTACGGTTGAAATTTATGCGCATGTACCTCAGTGGACCTTCGATCAGCTGCTCCCAGTAAGTGCCATCGTCGAATGCTTTGCTGTGACTTCGCTGCAAAATTTCTTTACTCGTGATCGAATAGCTGCGGCAAAATTCATCTGTAAAAAATGTCTATAATCGTTAATCTCAAAAATCTGCAATCTTATAAACTTCGATAATGCGGTTAGAACACGATGAGCATACATCTGCTGTTAATACGGTGCCTAAGAATCCCCCAACAGCACAGTGTGAGCTGTACCAAATATAAAGCAACTGGTTGGTAGATGCGCTCTTCTATACGCCTGTATAAATCCGTTGACTAAGAAAATCTGATGGATCAGTTATCCTCATCAGTTTTTGCTAAAGCGAATTTAATTTATGCAGTTCACATTGTGTCGGCAGTTTGTCGGTTCATTAGCAGATTCCATCTTCTGTTCGAAAAGTTACGTTCCATGACAGTTGGTTATCTTACTTTCTTTCGAGGCTAAATACTGACGATGGCGTCGAATCATGCTGTTCTGGCTTAAGGGCAGAATATTCTTCTAAAAATTTTGCTAAAGAATCTGAAGAGCATTCGGCTACTTATCGTTGCCTCGTTACGCTTCTGTTTCAAGGAAGCAAAACATGTCTGTACGTCTATAGAATTGTCTAAGTTAAATATAGCCTGGAGTAATTCACTATGGCAGTTGATCTTTCGTTCATTCGCCTCCAACTACCGGGCATTTGCTTGAGGTCAGATTTGTGAGCACTCCAGCTGAGGACAATGTCAGCTACCTGGTGAATCAGAGAGTGCGGGGCTTAAGGAAACGTCTCAAGCAGCGCTGCTTGATGTATCGTAAGCTTTGATGTAGTCACACAATAGGATACAGACGATAGTACTGACCAATTGGTTCGCAGGTCGTTACTGACCAATTCGTTTTCAAACTGACTTCTGTGCAACACAGCAGAGCAAACTTCTCCAGAAAATTTGCAGCTGGAAAAAAATTTACTCAATTCATGGATTCGAGCCATGTTCTTCTAATCTCACCAGGCGGAGAACAGAATTTGCATCTCTAAACCATGTAATGAATCAAAAATCAAAGCAAATTGTTGAACTGCTTTTATATGATTTAGAATCATATGATTTTGTGAGTCTCAGATAGTCACAGTACAACGCAAATGTTATGATTAAGATGCTTCAAAATGGTCGTTTCGCATCAATTTCTTAAAATTTGCGGTCTTTTTAACCATACTTTGGGTACCTACGGAGTTTCGAAATGTGCCATCTTCCAAATGGCTTTCCTTTCACGGTTTTTTAATTTCTTAGAATAAAACCATCTTTGTCACGGTTGATTCTCTTCTGCGAAATGCAATGTTTTAAGAAGTGCAGTTCTATCATTGCACCATCCGTAGCGACTTAATGAGAATGATGACCACCTACTGCTGTCCTACATACTTTTCAATAAATGGGACAATCTGCGGCATCCATTATGGGTACTGTTGTTCAAATTTTGATGATTAATAAATGTTACTAAACTGAAGCCGATTTACGTTTTTGAACTGCAGAGAACAGTTCCAAATAAGACAGTTTCATCGATTAGTCTGAATTTTTGCAGCCTCATATCCTAATATTTTGACAGTTCGAAAACAATCTGGCAACCTCAACTCCTTAACTGTCTAATGCGTCTTCCGATCACTATTCAAGCTGAAGCAACAAAAGTTGTCAGCGATAAATGACCTGTAAAAATTCATACTAAATGATATGCTTGAAAGTTTTTCTCTCGAGGAAATTAATGATCGAATAACCACTCTGACTAGTTCTCTTTGTTTCTATTGAGCAATAACAGGCTAGGTAGTTCCAAATTATTGGTTCTGTGTTGAGAGGTCATGAAATGACAAACCAAAATATTCCATGCAATACATCGCATCGCAGTAGGTACTTGGCCCTTTTAATAAGAGTGTAGAATGGTATCAGTATGTCTATTAAGTCAGTCTTGTCCTGCAGCCTCAACCTTTCAAAGCCGATCAACCCAATTTGATCTTGCTAATAAATGTTCTACAGCAGCAGAATGAAATTTGATTCTCTGAGTGAGTATCTTAAACTGTATTGGTTTTATTTCCAACTGCATCTCTCTCGCAGTACCTCTGTCAGATATTTTTTTGATGCAAAAACGCCTGTGTGATTTAAAGTGACATGTTACCTTCACGTTTTCGAATAATGGGTTTCTCGTATGTCTGTTTCATACCACCGCTGACTTTAGTGCCATCTCTCCATAATTTTTATTCCGATCAGCGCACAAAGCCTTTATTCCTTTTTGCCTAGAAATCCAATGGTGCAGCCATAACCAGCAGTGGGTACTTCGGCGGAGTTTTAACCAACAAATGAACCCCGCTCATCAGAATCTAGTGTTTTATTCAAGCCTGATGACAGGATATCGATTAAAGTACTTTATGGTAAGAATTGGTTAACTACTATTGAATGTGTGTTCATTGGTTGCTTTAACAATGGCAACCGCCTTTCCAACCGGAAAAACAGTAGACAGTCGGACTGTGAGGAAACGTGACCTCCTTTCCCCTTTAGGTCCAATTCCATTTCATTCTATCTTTCCGTAGCAGTATTTGCAAGAAATTATTGCTTGACATTAAATGACACACGAATGGTGTCGAACAACGATTGCCAACATTTCTTTCTAATTACAGAGTTTTGCTGGTGAAGAAACGCAGAGGTAGCACTGCGCTCATTATTCCTGTTAGCCTGAATTTTGTATAGCGATGGTTCTCACAGTTCTAATTGCGAACTTTCCCATTGGCATGGTATTTAAAAAAAATGAAAACTGCTCTCCATAATCGTCAAACAACCGGGCAAGGAAATATGGCTTTCGACACTTTTGGAATTTGTAACTTTGGTAAATTGTTTGCATTATTAGTCCTAGATGTGACTTTCGCTTTGAATCAAGGAAAGCGAATAGGAAGGTTTGTAACCGTTTGCCTGTCACTCTTTCTTAAACTCTAATGATAAGTCAATTTCTGACGCCCTTCTTTTCATGAAGTAAATGATGGGGCGCTGATGTCCATTTTCATGTTATCGTCCAGGAATGTCCTATTTTACAGGCAGATTCGACAGAAACCATGTGGCACGCACTGCATGTAGTCTTCTGTTTACTTTCAAGAGAGTGGAACTTATTTATCAACCTCGGCAGGAAGAAAGGCGAGTTACCCGACTGCTGGACCTCTAGGTTTCGCGTTCGACACTCCACCGACTGAGCAACACCGGTCCAGAGGTTGCAGCTGACCTTTCCGATTAAAATGATTCAGAACTCTATTCTGTTCATATCATCGTTCCATTTGTCTTACGGACTGGCCTACATTTCGGTTTCGGCCAAGTTACTGCACAGTTGGCTAACCGCGCGGTACTTCGGCAATCCGGTTAACGCATCTGTTACCACGTGGCGCCAACTCAGACGAAGTACCTGTCCAACGCACAGCGCACTGATGAACAGGTTGTCAACATAAACGATACTACTTTTGTCGATGTGTTGCACTATCATTCATCTGAGTAATGATCTACAGCACAGGCTCGGGTGCGACTAGGCTGGGGCATCACCGTTGCTGACAGTTGCTTTTCCAATAATTCACCACCGAATGACCTCTTCTCCAACACGAGACGGGACACTCACACAAAGGGATGATCCATGATCGTGCATATGTTGATGAAAAGTTTGGCAATTAGTCATATTCTCTGAACTGAGAGACAGGCATAAATTTTTGTTAGCGCTGATTTTGTTGACTCATCCTCGATCTGTTGAATCTGTCGAGGTTTACCAGATGCGCCATATATACATTTCTGAATAGAAACCAGCTTGTTCGAATATGCTCTCAGCTAATGCCGAGAGGCGGCTTAAAATCAAGCTTCAACATCGTTTAAAAATTATAAAACAATTACAAATGCTGTAGCCCTTTCGTCCAGTTCCGTTTTATTTTATGAACTACACGATTAGGGATTACTGTAAGTTCGTAATTATATGTTCTTACAGAATGACGAATATGAAATCGCTTGTGCCGTTAGCCATGTAATATGTAAAATTGATCGGATTAGGAGTAGTGGCATATTAATAATAAAATGAAGCAAAAATTTCATTGTAGTTTACCGCTTTTTTAAATCAGCAGAGACCCTTGTTCGATTTGCAGTACAATGTTGGTTGGTCATCAGCAACATAGAACTGGATCACAGCGAAATAATAAAAGTATATAAAATTCAGTATCGAATGAACTGTCCTATAGAATTGGGCAAAATCTGGCAGAACCGTATTTCAGTCTCACAACGTTAGCGGCAAATTATGGCAGGGGAATCAATGCGAAAATTTCCATTCGCAAACATCACTGTCAACACTGAAATCTTGCAGATCTTGTCGTTGGTACTCACTCATGAGTAAGGCACCAACGATGAACTGCCTGCTAAAAGAATAGTTCAATCGTCACTGCACATTCAGTAATTGACTATCATCGTATGAAAG